TCTAGTAATTTTGGATTGTATCCTGCACAGTTTGAGTGATTCATTGTAGAGACTCTGGATTCCTTTATAGTCTTCCAAAAAGTATTGATTTTTGTTTGTTTTATGAGGCAGAAAACTTGACTAACATCAAACTTCAAACTCTGACTCCTCTGTGATGGACAGTAGTTGAAATATCTGTTCATCTTTTTAAGCCTTAATTGGGCTGCTTGGAGTCGCCCTCACATATGTGTAAATGAGAGGTCAGTCAGAGATTTGGGCCCAGATTTTATTCAGAATTTAGGGCTCCCCCTCTGTGTCTCTCTCATTTCTGAGATTTTCCTCCTTGTTTTCCAACTGCCATAGTTGCCCCTAAACTCTGTTTACTGCTTCTTCAAGTTCATGACACTGAGTTTTCTATCCAAGTTTTATCTGTTTTTGAGTAATACTAACTGGGATCTCCCCTCAGGCAAAAAAAATGTAACAACAGGAAATTCACCCAGTACCATTTTCTTCTTGTAAATGTCAACTCCCATTCAGTTTTTCCTTGCTTTTAGTTGTTCTCCAGTGCCTTCATATTTTATCAAGATTTTTATAGTTATTATTCTACAGACCCATTGCTGTTGAGCCAATTCTGACTCATAGCAACCCTACTGAAGGGTTGGTCTAATAGTACTACTCTGTCATTACTGGAAGCAGAATCTGCTTGTCATCATTTCTTAACCTGGCAGAATCCTATGCCTGCTTGATCCTATCCTACTTTTCCATCCTTATTTCCTATCATTCTCCTCTGTATAGCCATGTATCTTAGTTATCTAGTGTTGCTATAACAGAAACACCGCAAGTAGATGGCTTTAACAAAGATAAATTTATTCTCTCACAGTCAAGGAGGCTAGAAGTCTGAATTCAGGGTGCCAGCTCCAGGGGAAGACTTTCTGTGTCTGTAAGCTCTGGGGGAGAGTCCTTATCATCAATCTTCCCCAGTCAAGGAGCTTCTCAGTGCAGGGACCCCAGGTCCAAAGGACATGCCATTCTCTGGCTCTTATTTCTTTGTGGTATGAGGTCCCCATGTCTCTGCTCATTTCTCTCTTTTATATCTCAAAAGAGACTGACGTAAGCCACAACCTAATCTTGTAGGTTGAGTCCTACCTCATTAACATAACTGCCGCTAATCCCACCTCATTAACATCATAGAGGTAGGATTTGCAACACATAGGAAAATCACATCAGATGACAAAATGATGGACAGTCACATAATACTGGGAATCATGGACTAGCCAAGTTGACACACATTTTGGGGGGACACAATTCAATCTATGACATCATGCAAAGATGCTATATTTTGTATCATCTTACACTTTACATTATTTTTTATTTTATATCTTTGCTCAGATTGCTCCCTTCAATCTACAATGTCTTACACTCTCCTTTTGTCAAAATCTTTACCATTTTTCAAGTCTCAGCATAAGCTCTGTTTACTTCTTCCATGAAACCTTTTCTAATCAATTTTATCCACCCTGACCTCGTAGGGCTTTATTATCTATACCACTCTTTGGACATTTAATCATATGCTTTCTTGTAATATCACTTTTGTTGTAGTCGCTCAACTGAAAATATGGTATATGGCTTTTCGACCCTGCTAGAGTGTTATTTTGTTTCTCTCCTACGGGCCCTAACTCAATCTTTAGTTCGGTAAATATTCTGTTTAATAATTATTTTTAATGAATGGGTGAGCCATTCCAATATTAATATTCATGTGAAGTGCTTAGAACATGATCTGGCACATAGTAAACACTAATAAATGTTAGTTGTTATTATTTTCTGAAATCAGTGTGGTACTGACTGTTCCCTGAATATTCCTCTCATTCCACTCTTTGCTGGATATTATTTTTAGTCTTAGATTCAAACACTTGGGGCATCTTAGAACTGGAAAATATTAAAGGTCATCTGATATTATCCCTTTAATTTGCAGATGAGGAAACTAGGCCTAGAGGGGTATTTTTTTCTCATTCGTGTCTCGCGGCTTTTTGCAGGTGCACAAGCTCAAAGTCTGCCATTACTTGTTTTGCGGGAAAGACCACAACATGTGTTCTGGGAGATTACTGGCTTGAATAGATTTTAAGGCTTTCTGGTCCACCTCACTATAACAGTCCTTCTCAGCCTAGGGACAGCTTTACCCCCCAGGGGACATTTGGCAAGATCTGAAGCCATGTTTTATTGTCATGCCTGGGGCAGGTGCTACTGGTATCTAGTGGGTGGAAGCCAGAGATGCTACTGAACGTCCTATAGTGTACAAGGCAGCCCCCGCAACAAATAATTATTTGGTCCAAAATATCCATAGTGCTGAGGTTGAAAAACCCTGTGCTATAGGTAGCTCACTGCCTTTTATGTAACTTTCATTAAAGGAGACTCACCTGCTTCCCCAGTTAACCTGTTCTGTTATCACAGAAAGTTCTAATACCAGATTTCTTCTTCGTTTGGTATTTCTTCTATTTATTCATATTTTCCTTGTTTTAAGAAGAAGTTTAGTTAAACTATGTGAGAAAAATAAGTTTTGCGGAACGATATTCCTCCTAGACGTAGCCTGTAACATTGTGTGAGAGCTGATAGAGAAATTAACAGAGGTTTATTGAGGGCCTGAAGCTTTTTCAGCTTTTTGTGTAAAGTGTTTCCTGATGACTGTGCTTTGCCTGTCAGGGCAGAGAAGGGGTTAAATGAAAAAAGAGGCTGGTTGTTTGTCACCAACTGGGACTGAGAGAAAGGGACAGAATGGCAGCCCTCATTCTGCCTTCCTCTATAGCTGCTCTGCGCCCTCACTCTTCCTTCTCTCTCTGCCCTGTTTCTAAGGCTAGAAGTATGATGACTGCTGTTGATTGAACATTGTCAGGAACGTTCTGGAGAAGGCAGTACAGTTCCTCCTCTGACAGGAGATATCAGAGCTATGATCCACTTTACAAAGTTGCCTCAAGGAAAGTGCAGATGTCCCAGTCTGCAGTCTGGAAGAAAATCCCAGGTGTATATACTGCTTTTTCATGAGTTTGCAGATCATGTTTTTCTTTCCGCTCACTAGGTTTGTCCCCTTCTCTCAGTAGCAGTCACATGATGGCATCTTGCCCCAGAAGCCCTTTTAATCCTTATTTAATGTTTGCAGTCTAAAAATGGTCTTTTCTGAATGACTGGGCGCTTCAAGGTTCAAGGTAACTTTTAACTTTTGCACCAATTCCTATGTTACTTAGGTGCTTATGCAAGTAAACACAAGTGAATTACTTAAATTTTATTTATATCTAGTCTGTCTTGCCATTTTTTGAGCAGAGAAAAGATAAAGAAACTGACTGCTTGCTTTTTCTGCATGGATTTATAGTGTGTTTAAAATCTCTCTTAGATGGTTCAATAAAATGTCATATTTCTAGCTTTTTCTCAAATCAGATTTCTGAGATTTTTAAACATTTCTATTATTTTAGCTTGTTGTTGTTGTTAGGTGCCATTGGGTCGGTTCTGACTCATAGTGACCCTATGTACAACAGAACGAAACACTGCCACGTCCTGTGCTATCCTCACAGTCATTGTTATGCTTAAGCCCATTGTTGCAGCCACCAGTGTCAGTCCATCCCGTTGAGGGTCTTCCTCTTTTTCGCTGACATTCTTTTAGCTGGGCCTAGTCAAATTCTCTGTATGACCTTTCAGCTGCAAGAAATAATTCCTTTGAAAAAAAATATCTTAAATACCACATTGAATGGAGGTGATGTGCCTTGAAATCTAACCCTGAGAGGAGAGGAGAGTTGTCTATATTTTGTAGGGCAGGCAGTTCATCAGCGCTCAGAACCCATACAGTGATCAGCAGCACTCTGAAAGAAGAGAAGTAGATTTTAAATGACCTTGACTGACTGGATAAGTAAACAAAAACAAAATGAATTTTAATTGATGTGAATATGAAAGCCAAAACCAAACCCTTTGCTGTCAAGTTGATTCCGGCTCACAGCGACCCTACAGGACAGAGTGGAACTGCCGCATAGAGTTTCCAAGGCTGTAAATCTTCACGGAAGCAGACTGCCACATCTTTCTCCCACAAAGCAGCTGGTGGGTTTGAACCGCTGACCTTTTAGTGAGCAGCTGAGTGCTTAACCGCTGTGCCACTAAGACTCCTCAATATAATTACAGACACACTAGTCAAAGAGAACCCATGCAGTCATGGGTCAGGATTTTGTCTGAGGATGGCAAAAATTGCTTATCTGGGGATATGGTTGACTGAAAGATAAATGCAGCTTAAATATTTTAAATACAGAACAACTTTTTAAAGCTAGCATGACACTGTAACTACCATTGATACTAATAGCACTTTACATTGAGCACTACCATGTGCCAACACTGATCTAATCCCTTTACATAACTCATTTACCTGGAGAAAACAGGATTATAGGACACACAGGTAGTCTTTCCCCCCTAGGTCAGCTGAACACCAAACAGCCTATTGGCCCAACCTGCTAGCCTAGGTGCCAGGTCCCTGAAAGCGGGGGCGGGAGGCCACCCCTTGCAATTCCACCCATACTGATGTTTTACCTGATGTGAAATACTGGTCTCTGTGTTTGCTGAGCCTTGATGGAACAAGAGCTGTCTCTTAGAATATGCATAGATGCTTATTAATGTTACAGTAGAATGGGTAGAGGACATATTTTTTTTATTTATTGAAGCAGAAACATTTGTGTTTGACTATATTTTGAGTTGTTCTAGTAATACTTATTGGAGGCCTACATATACGCATAGGAAGAAGTTGTAAAAATTCTGCTCTTTTGGTAGGATAAAGGAACATCACTTTACTGTGCAATTTTCTAATTTGAACCCACGTTTAGAGAACTGGAATTGTGTTTTAGTGCATTTAGATGAGATGGTCAAAGATGATCATTTCTGTAGAACAGATTGTAAAATCTCTTAGTACTCTAAAGCAGTGCCAATAAGATGATTTTAATATTATATTGTGAGCAAGAATCACGTGTAGAAATAACAAAAGTTACTTTCCTGGTTTTTAGATGTGTGGTTTTTAACAACAGAGGAGTGGCTGGGGAGAATCTCTTGGTAAGTAAATCTAAATAAATGACAACAGTCTTCATTTCCAGTTTTAAAATAAAAAGCATCTTCTTTTTTATTTAAAAAATTCTTATTATGTAAACAATACAAGTTCGTTTTAGAAAACTACAGATAAGCCCAAAAGAAATTTACAAGACCTATAATATCACAACTAGAGAAATCCCCTTAATCTATGTTCATCCAGACCATATGTATATGTAATATGTTTATATTTTTATAAAAATTAAGATTCTATTTTGTAACTTAATTTTTGCACTGACTTTATTTTAACATTAATCTCTATTTATCTAAGCAGCCCTGGTGGTGCAGTGGTAAAACACTAGGCTGCTAAACAAAAGGTTGGCGGTTTGAACCTACCAGCCGCTCAGTGGGAGGAAGATGTGGCAGTCTGCTTCCATAAAGATTACAGCTTTGGAAACCCTATGGGGCAGTTCTGCTATGTCCTATAGGGTCACTGTGAGTCGGAATCGACTTGACGGCAATGAATTTGGTTTTGGTTTTTGGTATCTATTTACCTGGAGTCTTTGCATGACTGTTAACACACTTGACTGCTAACTGGAAGGTTGGTAGTTTGAGTCCACCCAGAGGTTCTTGCCAGTCTACTTCTGAAAAATCAGCCATTGAAAACCTTATGGAGCACAGTTCTACTCTGATACATATGGGGTTGCCAAGAGTCAGAGTTGACTTCGACAGCAACTGGTTTTTAGATATTTACCTACATCATTTTTAATACAAAACACATTCTATTTAAAAATTAAGCAGTGCAGAAACAAATAAGCAGTACAGTAATACTTTTTTCACTTGTGAAATGAAATTTTCTTTTGTCACAAAATAACTGTATATTATAAGCCTGTTTGCCAAAATTTACATAGGGGAAATATTATTTAAAACCTTTTTTTTTAATCACTCTTTTTTTCCTCTAAATCCTAGAGGTTTTTCTAGGATGCAAGTTCTTCCATCTCTTAGAAAACCGTAACTCTAAGGTTTAAACCTGTGAGTTGGAATGAGAAATGTCACACTCACTGAAGTTTTCTTGCAGCTTTTGACTTTCAGACCCTCACCACTTTGACAGGTCAAAGGCAATTCTACCAGAACTGAAAGAAAGAACAGTGACTATCTTTAGTTTGTTCTGTGTCACTGGTAGAGGGATAACATAAAGACTAAACAATTAAGTCACACCTAAAATAAATGTGTACAGTCATGTCGCAAAAGCTTCATGAGAACTTGGGGGAAAATAAGAGCTCTTACAGTTTGCTTTACAGTGACTTAGGCCCTGGAGAGAATCGGGCTCATAATGTTTGTAGAGCTCTATAGTGTTTTCAAAAGCTAAAGTTATAAAGTGTTTATGGTCTTACTCAAGTGCCTCATAATAAATAGTTTAGTGAAACCGTTCATCTTTCCTTATTTGGTACAGCCTGTCAGGAATTTTATAGACAGAAGGTACTCTAAGGGGAAAGATTGGTATTTGTCATTGTGGCTCTGGACCAAGCAGATAGTTTTTGAGCAGCTATAGTCCACTGTACATTCTTCTAGAAGTTTCCAGGACACAAAGATGGGGGCGACATGGTCTGAGGTTCTCAAGCAAATAATAGTTCTATGAAGCATAGTCTGTTAGGTCCGTCCCATAAAGTGAGGGGCAAAGATGTATTCATTCAGGAAAGCTGTACTGTGTGCCTGATCAGGACTGTGCAAGACAGTAGCGTGAGAAGTGTACAAAACCCTACTCCTTAGGAGCTCAAACTTGAGTTGAGGGAGAAGGTCAGGTCCATAAAAGTACATAAATTACACTGTAGTAAAATTTATTAAGGCTACATGGCCCAAAAGGAAGGAGTAACTAACTGCCTGGAGGAAGTGGGAGAACTTCCCAGAGGAGGTAACATTTGAGTTGGATCTTGAAGATTGTGGTATTGAACCAGCAGGAGAGGGGAGAGAGAGGCTTTCTTGGCATAAAGAGCAAGGTATGAAAGAACATGGAATAGAAAGAGATACTTGTAGCTGGATAATGATAATAATTATATCTAATGTCATTGAATCCTTAGAATGTGTCAGTTACATCTTTTCTTACTTAATGCTCAACAATGAAAATAATCCAATGTGTTCAACCAAAAAAAAAAAAACCAAACCCATTGCCATGGAGTCAATTCCAACTCATAGGAATCCTATAGGACAGAGTAGAACTGCCCCATAGGGTTTCCAGGGGTGTAAATCTTTATGGGAGCAGACTACCACATCTTTTTCCTGTGGAGCGGTTGGTGAGTTCGAACCACTGACCTTTGGGTTAGTGACTGAGCGTGTTAACCACTGCACCACCAGGGTTCCTACCCAATGCATTATGTAAGTATAACTATCATCATCCTCATTTTCCAGATGAAGAAAATGAGGCACAGATAGGTTAAGAAATTTGCCCCAGCCAAGAAATGGCAGAGCCAGGATTCAGACCCAGGTAGTCTGACTATGTACTTAGCGCTTGACCATTATGCTATACTGCCTCTCATTATTCAGGAATTGACCTTAAAGAATCATGTGTAGCACTCTAAGAAACCTAGTATAGGACCACTGAAATTTTGAGACAAGGGAATAATTGATCATGTTTTAGAAAGAGAATCATGGTATTGGAGTGTAGAAAAGAAGTTGCGGGGTGGAATGAGGCTAGAGTCTGGGAGATCAATTAGAAAGCAGTCTCTATAGCTCTGCCCAGAGTTTGAAAGTAAATGTAGGAGAGATGAAGAGGAGAGAACGAAAATGAGAAGTATTCGTGGGGCAGAAACAATAGTATTGATTGTATTGTAGGAAGCGGAGAGAGGAGTCATGGGTGACATTTCTAGCTTGGCTAGCTGGTAAAAGTGCTGATATTTGCTGAAATAGGCAATTTAGGAGATTTTGGTACACTTAAGATAATAAATTCCATTTTAGCTGTTTAGGGTGCTTTTAGATCACCCAGGTGGAAATTTCTAGTACGTAGTTGGTTATACTGGATTGACCCTCAGGAGAGATATGCAAGCTAGAGAGAGAAACCTGGAATTGTCAGTGTGCAAGTGGAAGCTGAAGGCTGCAAGTGGTTAGATTGCTTAGGGAGAGTTTGTAGAAGAGAAGGGGAAGAGAGTCTGAAGAGTAAAAGGGGAAGAGATTAGAAAACAATAGGAAGGAAGAGAGAAAAAGAGGAGGAGGAAGCTTTAAAAACCTTCTGTCCTTAGCATTTAAAGTTAATTGGAAGTTTACTTTAAAAGAATGCAACAACCATCTCATGGAATTCAGACTTTCTAGAGCCATGGAGGCTGGATGAACCCCTGAAACTGTTGCCCTAAGATAATCATTAAACCTTAAACCAAAAATATCCCCTGAAGTCTTCTTAAAATCAAACAATAGTTTAGCTTAACTAGTAAAGAATGCCTACCTTAAGCATTATGCTCTTTTAAGATCTGTCTATGTGGGATCAAATTGACAACAGCAACTTGAATGAATAGATAGGAACCTTAGGGGGCAGTGAGTTTATGTTAATGAGGAAAGGAACAACTCAGAAAAGGAGGGTGAGAATGGTTGTACAACTCAAAGAATGTAATCAGTGTCACTGAATTGTACATGTAGAAACTTGAATTGGTATGTGTTTTGCTATGTATATTCTCTACACAACAAAAATAAAATATTTTTAAAAAATGCAGCAGCAACCCAGTAACTTTTAGTCTTAAACTTTAATTGGAATTTTGAAAAATCTCCAAGAACACTTTGAGTTCTTGCAAAGGGATAATATATAGTTAACCAAAAAAAAAATTTTTTTTTTTTAAATTTTAAAGAATCCACTGAGTTCTAAGGTAGAGGATAAAGCTTGGCCTTTGAGGTCTTAAACTGTGCAGTGGGTTGAATTCTGATGAACTAGTACCTCCAGCAAATATCTGTATCGTAAAGGCTAATTCAGGCTAGGTTGTTATAGCTACAGTCTGGCAAGAAGTTTCTGTGTGAGTGGCAGAAAGCACTTTGGACTCAAGAAGACCACGTTCCAGCTCTGTCCTCACCACTAAGTGGCTAAGTGACGGCACAAGTCAAATAACCTTTCTGTGTCTCATTTTTTTATCTGATAATAATGTATACATGCTACCTTACAAGGATGCTCAAAGTTTAGACAGAATAATGAGTATGAAAATATCATGTAAAGTAAAACTTTTTATAATCCAAGGTATAATTACTACTGTATTAACTCATTATATTAGGGTATAAGAGGTATCTATTAAATTATAATTAAATTAGTCTCTTAATATTCTTTTCAAAGCAATTCCAAAGGGATATGATCATAATTATATTTTGCTCGTTTTAGATCCTTATTCTTTCTTAAGTTGGATCACAAAAAAATGAGATACCAATATTGCTGTATTAGGGCTAACTTTGATTCCCTGATAATCCTTCTTTTTGCCTTAGAGCTTTGAGTGATTACTGTTTCAGACTGCAGGAATTCTGTTTATTTATACCTCACTTTGTTCCAGAAATGATTTAATATGACTCAGGCTCAGAGTAAGTAAGACCTTAAGGTAGGATAAAAAAGAACAAAAAATGAATCAGCAAAGATCAAACAGGAAGGAACTGTCTCTGACTGAAATTAACCCAAAAGAGCTAGCAAAGATGAAATGGAATTTAGGGTAAGCAGTTCTCCTAGGAGTGAAAAAAAGTGAAAGTAAAGGGTTTGCTGAGATATGTTGGAGATACTTTAGAATTTGTAGGGATTCCTCTGGCTCCTGCAAAGGAGCAATTTTCCACAACTATAATAGTGTTTTCGTTTCTGATTAGTCATTGGAAATTGACTGAGGGAAAGCCAAAAGCCTTGCTCACTATGAAACGAGAAGCCTGCTCCATGCCCTCCCTGGGCTGTTTCTGTAGGAGTCAGACAGCCCTAGTCTTAGTAGCCTGAACCTCAGATTCCTGCAGGGTTCTTGGAGCCCACAGACTAGATGGTACCTTTTCTTGTGCTCTGCAGATTGGTTGGTTTTCAAGGATAGGAA